TATTATATTTAATAACTACTATTAATAATATTTTTACATTTACTATTATTTTTCGTTTTCATATATCAATAATATCATTTTTGTAGAATAATATTAATTAATTAATTTACCAAGCACAAATATGCGCGCGCGTGTGTAAACACTGAATGTGAAAACAGAAAGATAATGGTAAATTAAGAAAAAAGAAAAGGACATCAATGAAAAAAATATTCTACTAAAATTAAATCAATCTAGAACAATGTAAATCTGTCAAATTGACATACTTATTAAAACAATATAGAAAGTTTGTACAAACATGTAAAAGAAATCTTTTTTTCAAGTTGTTTTTGACGTCTAAAAATTTCAATGAAATGTTCGCGAAAAAGCGCAGTCAACACGCAATTCCCATTGCATGCAACTACATACAATTGCCCATCTTTGTACCGGAGGTTGTCACGATTTAAAAGCACTATCTGAAAATAAGCATTTGCCTGCAGTTGCATGCGATGTAGGCTGCATGTTAGTTTCATTCGAATCATTTTCCACTGATATTTTTGAAAACGCAAAAGAACTCATAACATAAAAAGGTTTTTCCTGTCTTCATATTTGTTAAATGTTTCAAAAAAGAAAATGATTTTAGAAATATAATATCTTGCATTTTTCATCACATACTTTGTATAAGAAAAAAGTCGTTAATTAAATTGTGATTCATATTATTATCTGAAACTATTGCCTTCAGTGACAAATTTATATAAATGCTGTTAATTGTTCTTAAAAGTATGCAAAATAAAATTGAAGAGTCTTAGAAATTTTTTAATAGAATAAAAATTTTTGTATAAAATTTAAATTTTCTTATAAACAGATACTTGAGCTTTAAAGATATGGTAATGTTGAATTCTTGATTCTGGAAAGAATACTCTTTTATTAATCAATCAACTTATCATTTTGCTAATAAAGTTTAACGTTTAGTATTTTTTTTTTAAGGAAAGCATTATTTTATATGAAGACTCTCAATTGATATTGGTGTATCATAAATGCGAGGCCGTTCTTTTTCGATCGATATAGATATCCTAATATATCGTGTCATACTTTCGTCTTTTACGGACGGACGTAAATCACGATTTACTAGCAGCAGGTGCACTTTCGACAGAACTACGGAGGGTAGTTTTTCCACCTATCTCCTTTCCCCAACCATCCTGCTGAGCTATCGATAAATCTATAGACTGCAAGCGAATATACACTTTGATTGCACATCATTCAATACGTATTTTAGAAGCGTAATTCTTATCTATCAAACTTTACATTGCACACTCGCGCATATTTAAAAATACTATTCACAAGATTTTGTAATTTCTAAATAAGTATTAAAAATCTAGAGCATTTACTTAGCAAAAAATAAATGCACACACGCACGCTTGTGTGTGTATATTTTTAACTATTATCGACACATTTTTATCTTTATATTAAATTTTAACTCGTATAATTTTAGTCTAATAAGTTAAACTTTAATTTTTTAATTATTTATTTCTTAAAAAGAAAAGTCTTATTATAAATTCTTTTTTTTTTACTATTAGCTGTTGCTGGAACGATTTAATCTTTATATAAATCGCACTATAATCGCGTACAATCTATGATAAAGGCGGCTTCTGATACACTAAAGATAAAGTCGCTTAAAAAACTGTTTGATGATATATCTTTGTGATAAACGATCGATATTAATTCACGCCACGCGTTAGTAATACTCGCGCGTTTATCATGCACCGCGCGCATCATCAGATCAACATCCGCGAGAGAATATATAGCACAATATACCGTACACACACAATATCTACGAAAAATCCGAAGAGAAAACAGTAGATCCGCATGGGCAGTGTGTAACTGGTCAAAAAGTTGACGCGATTCGTGACCCTCGTGCGAAATTGCCGTTCAAGGGTGGCTCGAATTCCTCAGACGATTATTAATATTTGTGCTTGCCCGCAGGGGGAAAGGTAGACACGTAGAAGCGAGAAACTAATGTGGTAGAAAAGACGACGCGGAGACGCGTTTCGCACCCCAAACTGAGTAGAACCCGGGAATTGTCGGTGGACGGGTGGCGTTTGAAATAGCTGCGCGGGGATAAACGGACGTACATCGACCATATCTAGGTCAAGTAGCTGTCCATAAATCGGTAGCTAAATGAGACGTTGAAAATCGACCTAATGCATGGCGCACCGCGAGGATGTTTTTACGGATGAAGAACAACGACTCTTCATCGAGTTGTAGCGGTGACAATGTGTTTTACAGGGGTGTGTGTGTGTGTGTGTGTGTGTATGTGTGCTTATTATGTATGCTATGTTTCCTCTTTCATCTACTTTTACACAAGTAACAATATTTTTAACTTATATATATATATATATATATATATATATATATATATTTCATTTGGCAGATATTATGTTTACATAATAAAAAATGTGTATTTTTAATCAAAAAAAGAACTTTATTTAAACTATAATCTTTTTTTATAAATAATATATTATATTGTAATGTGTATAATGTATGTGTGTGTTTCATCAAATCTAGGTGCCATAAAATTTAATAACATAGCACTTGTAGCGCCTGTTAAAAATTTAATACAACATGCGAAGTTGGCGCAACTTTGTCGGGAGATTAATAAAAAGCTTATGAGAAACAATATTAGCGTAGTTCATATATCAAAGAAAACTAGTGGCTTTATTTCATTTCTAACGTTTATGAACCACGTCGAGTTTATTAAAAGTATAATATTTCCGACATCATACTTTACTGCTTCCAGCGACCGGCATTTACTAAGTTACGCGCGCTTTGCAATCGGGGAGGTATGATAAAAACGGGTTTCTCTCCATCATCCTTTCTTATCATCTTTTCTTGCACAGAAAAATACGCGGGTATTCTTACGCGACAATAGTCGTTTCTTCCTGAGTTTTATCTCACTCTTATCATAATACCGAAGTGCATAGTATTACGATGACAGCGTGGTTTTCGCTAATGGCATATATATACACGGAGGAATCGATGGTGTCAGTGTCAAATCCAGCGCTTAATAGAATGATATTGATGCAAAATCAATATAATCCAAAATGAATAAATCCAAATTGAATATCCTCATATTGATATTCACATTGTAAATATATAACAATAAAGAAATAATAAATAAAGTTATACACACACAATTAACTTATTATAATTATATTAGTTATATTAGAATCAATATAATTATAAGTTTATATTGGAACTAATATAACTATTATAATTATATTATAATTATATTATTAAATATATTAAAATATATATTAATAAATATATCGTATTTTTTGAAGTATATGTATTCATTCACATACAGACGTTTTAATCTATATTTGATTATCCGATGCGATCCTTCAAAGTTTCGATTGACTCAGTTTCGATACTTGCGCGCTGGAAAATAATTTCCACAAACTTTTTCAATCAGAGAAATCAATATTAAAATCGCTGACTTTGCAAACTATTGGTTTTATCTGAATTCATTAAGTTAATAGGTAGGAAGCTATTACTTTACGAATATTTCGAAATGTTTTTCTCTCTAATCTGTATTTATAAATATATATTAAATTGTCTGAAAAATTTTCAATATCAATTTCTGCATTTTATTAGAAATTGTGTCATCGTGTGCAACATGCAATTTTTGTCTTTTATTAGAAATGACGCCCATTATGCATATTACGGTTATATACTAAAAAACTATGCCAGACAACGTTTTAAGAAATGTTCGTGCGTACAATGAGAATTCTTTGATAATGGGAGAAAATTAGTGACTTACATTGTACACGCAGCGAAACTCGCTTGCTCACGGATGGTGGAACACCATTTGAAGCTATGCATAAATAAGCGCCCATGTGAAGGCGGCTTATCTTTACGATATGCAACACTTCACCATCCACAACATTCACTGAAACATAAAATGTTCACATATATTAGCATATAAACTGCAAAAGCCTTGGAAAGATGTATTTATTATACTATTTCAACACTTCTATCAGTTTTTATTATAAGATAAAATATTTGCAACTAAATTGTTATAAAGGAGAAAGAGAATACTGGTCATAAGAGCTCTATTACGAGATCTACAATTAGCAATCAGTTAACAATTAAATTTTGAATAAAACGATACTTTTTAATTAAAACGTGTTTCGCGTTGTAAATAGCAGATTGTTGAAAAACCCTCGTATTATATTCTGCGCAAAGTAATTATTGTAGAATGTATAATACAATTTGATAAATACACACGACTCGTCGCAGTTGTAATTCTTCTCACGAATTAATAAGCGCATAGCGTGCCATGATAATATCAGCATTATTTCGAAACTCGCGGATATCGATAATGCTGACAAAGAAGGCAGCATGCACGCTGAAAGCGCGATGCGCATATGCGTTAAACTTTTATTGCATGTCGTGTGACAAAGAGCACTTTGCGCCTTCCCGGAGAGCTATTTGCATCTACGCTGCATTCATTTCTGGCATGTTGGTTGATATGACTGGCACAGATCGCATAAAGTAGAGATAGATAGGAAGCAAATTAAACTCTACAAAGACGCGAAGAGTAAAGGCAAGCTACACCGGTACTTTGTCACAACAGTTGCTTAGACATTATAGACATGTACGCGCTGATAATCACATTATTGGCATTGATTCTGCGCGCAAAACCATAATTATAATAATATAAAGACAAAAAAGAAATGTAAATATATATATATTATTTGATAATAAATACACTGTATATGAAAAATGTCTAAAAAATCACGTCTTTTTTCTGCTACGCGATAATATGCAATCAATAAAAAGATTGCACTTATAAATACTTATTAAAGTATATAATGTTTATTATAATATTGTGTGCAGATAAATTATATTATACTTCAAAGTTTCAGAAGATTACTCTGAAAGCATTACTACGGTTATCCTCATATAATTCATGACATAAACGATAATATCATACGCAAGCAAAACGCACATTATAGCTCAATGTGTCTTTATCCTGATTGCTAGAATAATTACACAGATAAAGTGTATTGACAACCGCTGTTATTGTTAAGCAGATATTGTCATATTAATATAGAAACTGCTATATTTGGAAGAATGATCTATGCTATCTCGCTGTCGCCACTCAATATTGCACGTGCTATATATATTCTCTACCTAGATATAGAAGTCACCTGTAATTCAACAAATGTCTCGCATATTTTATTTATATCGACCAAACTATTTTTTAGCAAGCAATATATACCTATACATATATAAAAAATCCCATTAATACAATCTATATTATATACTATGCTATTTTTTATACTTAATAAATAATTCCTATAATATATTATAATTAACTGAAAATTTAGATTGATTTAATTTTAATAGAATTGAGAGAGATAGAAGTTAGATTTTTCTCACTATTCAGTTTAAATTGATACTCAAAATTTCAAGAAAATACAAAAATAAACGACATATATCGCAATGAAAAACTTATTTAAAGTTTTCTTGCAATAAGGTTAAAAGCATCGTAAACGGCGAGAAACTTTTTACGTTTATTTGACCTATATATATAGAAGCAATAAGATATCATAAAGGCATAATATGCTACAAGTTAACGCCCTTGAACGCATTATGCGTTTTAATGTCTAAGAATATTTTACGCGTTTTCTCTCCCCTCCTCACTCTTTGTGGATTTCATTATAATTTAATTACGTTACTTTATATGTGTAACACAAAAAGATACGACAAAAATCAATAATGCTTTTTAAATTGGTAGATGTAATAATATCTGTAAATTTAGATACACACATACAAAATAAATACGCGCATATATTATTGCGAGCAGTTATCACATTTGCATACTGTTTTTATGCGTTCCCTGCGTAACAATTACAAGATATTAGCGTCAGGTAAAATGAAAATGGCAAGCCATTAAATTCTGCTGGCCGCGCAGCTGAAGATTTCGCTGTTGAAAGAGAACGGAACACATATACATGTGATGCAGCGATGAAAGCGGTGAAAGGAATAAAGTTGTTACCCGGCCAGTAGTAGAACGCGAGAGGGTGCTGAATCCATGGTAGCCAACCCCGTGCTACAAGCTGCGCGGCAAACCTATCTATTGTTCCATAAACAATGCAGAGTGCCGGGAGATTCTGCCAGCGGGTCGCACTTTCAGGGGGTTTTAATCAAGTAGTCCCGCAGGTCCTGTGTCGGAACTACCCGCTTACCGGTTTAGCGGAAACCTTTAAAACTTTCGGCTTAATGGGAAACCGCAATATGGCCCGGCCGGACGGAATTTCACGGCGGACGAACGGTGGAGGCGAACAAAGGAGAACGTGGACAATTATTATTTTCGGACACGCCCAAATTTTATCGTTTTCCGTGCGATCGAAGTGGCTCGATTTAACTGCGCAGGGATCCGTTTATTTCACGGTAGAACGGCGATCGATGCCAGTTAAGATTAGAACACAGTATTATCATATCGCGTGAGCTCACGCGTTGTCATGTCACATTACAGTATAAATAGCACCATTAATAAAGTTATCGTCGACTCTTACAGGATTTTCATCTCGTTTTTTCTATGCTTCATATTTATTTTGTTAATTATTAACGACATTTTTTTTCAACTTTTTTTAGGATTGAATGTTATATAAAATATTACATTAATGCTTTTTTTCCTCAATCAATCATATCCCGCCTTGTATATAACATACTATGCAGTTACAAAAAAACGCTTGTGTTATATATAAAAACAATAAAAGTATTTCAAAATGTTGAAGCGATATTATATGTATACATAGCGTCTGTAAATGATGCAAAATATTTTAGAGCTCCGTTTTAAACTGTGAATGCACAGAGAATGGTGGCGTGCGCACGTGGAAGAATTCCCGAAATAAATTAACGTCCGTTCGAGTCGATGCCGCGCGCGCGAGCGCGCGCGACGTACTTTGCGTAACGTTCCCCGGCGGCGTATTCTCAGCAGCGTAAAAATAAGCGAACAGCTTACTCGAAGACGAAGTGGTAGGTTGGCCACCTATTTGGGAATTAGTACGTGATGTATTCCGACCCATAAGCGAAGGATGGGTCGTAGATATTTCATCCCGTTCCCCTTTCTCGTAGCCTTAAGTGCCCTTTTTCGCGTTATAACCGGGAGATAACCCGGGTACATTCATTCCCAAGCGAAATCCTCGGCCAACGATTATTGCCGCTAATGCATCCGCGAATGTTAGACCAGACGTACGTAAGTGATTTCCACGTATTTATTGCACTGTCGGAAATGTTTTAACAAGCGTGTTAACGACAACGATCATGTCAAACAATATAATTATATAAAATGTTAAAAGCAAATATAATTTTAGTCAATAATTTTTAAATCTATGCCTTTTATGTTCTGTAACAAAATTTTGAAATATGTAAAAGAATGTGTCAAACACATTTTTTATTATATATGATTTGTTTATTCTCACGTGGAAAATGAAAAATTATTTCACTTGATTCAATGTAAAACAAACGTACAGGCATTTTTGGATAAATTCACATATTAGCATCTTTGTTTGTAAACGGACATACGTGATATAAATAGTGTATGTACGCACATATAAAAGATATAAATATTTTTTAATAAATACTTATAAATATTTTATATTCAAAAAGAATGTTTACAGAGATATTGCAGAAAGAGATTGAATTAAAACTTGTATAAAAGACAATCGTGATGGAAAAATGAAGCCGCTCGTTTCTGTGTTCGAATTCAGGGAATAACAACGATCGATTGTCATGAACGATTGACGTCACCAGATTTGAAGGACAAATTACGTTTGCAGTGCAACATCGCGTAAAGCGAATGAAAGAGACGGGGCTATTATATCCCAGTTTCCAGCGAGAAATTTCTCAGATAATATTGACTCCGTGCTGAACGCGCTGACTTTACCAGCGGTTTGGAAGGCACAAAGGAACCTCAAACGGTAACGAGAAAACGTAACGTGCTTTCTCACCGCAAGCATTGGCGTAGCCATTGGAACGTTCGATACCGGTTGGAGTCTGATTGTATGTGTGTATGTGTGTGTGTTGGTTCTGGCATAGAACTGAGCGAGCATTGGATATGTGTGTGTATGCGCGCAAAATGAGTGTGAGAGTATAGCCGATTTTGCGCCGTGCTTTATACCCGATGCACATCGCCTTCTATTCTCCTGTACGTTCGTCTCCCGGCACACCGGCGGGAAACTCAGCTCGTTGTCAGTTTCGATTTTCCAGTCGCGTCGCGTTATGTCGGCCTTGCGTCGACAAGCCGTGGTCGCATTAACAGAGAAGCCTTGCCAGGATACTCGTGAGAGTATCGGTGACGGAAATACTCGAGACATCTCTTTCTCTCTTTCTCTCTATCTATCTATCTATATATCTCTCTTCATCTTCACTTTTTCGTGGGCACAAAACAGGTGGGCGAAAGGAGGCGTATGCGCGCAATCTATAACTTTACATATATACATTTAACGGTCGGTGAACAACAGTATATATATGTATATATATACATATATATATATGCGTAAGAACTCGTGTATACACGTATATAATCACAGTTGCGCCGCTACATTGATCCACGATAATCGTGTGGGTGTTTATAGTGAGGTGAGGATAGATGAGGTGGATGATAGTTGCGCGATGTACACAGGTATACACATGTATGCGTGCGAACGAGTTTAGAGTCGTTCGTACATCGAGAGGATACATCACCGGCTGATGGGAATAGAGTGTACGGACAGGTAGCGACCAGTGGTGACCAAGGCAAACTCGTATATCTATGAAAAGGTGAGAGAAACCAATCGCATTTTCCGAGCACGAAGCGGCGTCGACACTCGTCGACGTATACGCGTTTCCATAACTATAGAAGACAGAGAGGTTTCGCTTCCCCCGTCCTTCTTCTAGTGCAGGTAAACCTCCTCATCCTCCATGATATCGGAGTTGTTGCGGATGCGAATACATCTTACACTACCGGTCGCCCGCGCCAATTCAGCCCCAGAATCTACCGGGACGTCGCTGGATTGCGACATTATCGCTCTTATGAACGATCATATTAAGGACACGAGAGTAGCGCGACAATTCGTTTCCGCCGTCCTCATGGTTTATTTGCCCTTCGTGCCTCCCCGCCGCCGGCGTTCTAATTTCCCGCCCGCGCCTTCCTTTATCTTCCCCCCTCATATCCCCCCGCCGTCGTTCTTCCGCACGATCAGTTCCGGCCTGTCCGCCGGAGGTAAATCTCCCTCGTACCTGCAGGTGCCTCGCACCACAACCAACACCAACACCGGCGCACCATCCCCAACGACGGCACCTCGATGCGCCAAGATAGTTTTGCTAAATTCGATTTGCTTTCTCATCTCTCTCGGCCATTCTTTTTCGGTTTCCTCGCTCCGAGGCGAGGTGGGGGAGCGAGAGCGAATGAGCTGGGTATACCCTCGATTCGAGAAGAAGCAAGAGAGACCGACAACCATCTATACTTTTTCCGAGGGTTAGAGGGTGTCTGGAGGCTATCAGGCGGGGAGTAATGGCGTTAGACCATCCCTCGTGCCCCAGAGGCCAACACATCAGTTAGTAACGCGGTCGTACGGCTCGAACGCGCACCATATTCACCACCGCGATATTTCGTCCAATTACGCCGATAATCTGACGCTTCTCTCGAATGACGGATCGTTGGTTCGCCAGAAGGCGCCTACCTACGTCGATTGATATCGATTACGCGTCAATGTACGGCAATTTTACAAATTCATAATTGCAGATACGGAAAGAATCCATTTTTAAAAGTATTAAAGATATCAAAAATTTCTGAAATAAATATTTCTGCAAAATATTTTTTGTAAAAAGTTGTGTTTTTAATGTCGTGAAAATATCTCCTTAATGTTTAGCTTTGTAGCAATAATACTAGTGTATGGCCCTTTATTCCCTGATAATAATCATTTTAAAATCCACTTTAGGTTCTATTATATATATACGAATAAGAAGTCTCCCCTCCTTTCCACAAATTTAATATCTCAACGAGAAGCATTTAAGTACTTGCGCGAAATCTTTAAAGGTTAATAAAAATGTCAGTTCAAAAAGTTTTTAAGTAGCTTAAAATATAATAAATGATTCGTGTTCTGATGGTTGCAAAATGAATCTTCTAAATAGAAAATATTATAGAAAAATACAAAGTAGATGTTATTGGAAACGAGGCAGTTTATGTAAATAGATGATATATGTAATGGCTTGCCATAAATAAAATATTCATAGCTTCTAGATGTTAAGCCTCTCAACACTCATGTGTTATACGCGCTGCGCGCGAACATAAAAGTTTATTACTTTTTTAAGATAGCAATGTTATAAAACATCAACTTATATAATTTTAGCTATTATTTTACAAATTTTTTATAACTAAATATTTTTAAACTAATAAATGTGTCTATTACACACATACATTTATTATTCTAATTTAAAATCACTACATAAGGCTTACAAGCTTTTTCTTCCCTACAGTATCGGGTTTTTCTATTACATTCGTGTTCAACGACTATCTTCCATTTACGATAAAATTGGATAACTTTGTACCTTCGAATGCATCGCGAAATAATGGTCAAACGACAGCGGAAAGAGATGCAATTTTTGCGATGTGATGCTTAATAAATGATACCGAAACACACGTGCTTTTACCAGAAGTGATGATAGAAACCATTGCTATATTCGTGAAATAAATTTGCTTTCAATCAAACTAATCAAAGATGCTTCTTTAGGAAATTATAAAACGCACTTTCATTGATAATACTTTATTGATAATATTTTCATTGATAATACTGCGAAATAATATTGCATTTATCTCATTATGCATTATTTCTTATATTATGATGAAGAAAAGGCGCTAATAGACATAAATAAAATCGTACTTTATACTTTCTTCTTCTTTATTATCTAGCTACCGTATTAATTTCTTTTTTTTTAACATTGATTTTAACGGACTTCAGTGCAGATGTATAATAATACGTCCAATAATATAAAATTTCCATGTCCCAGCGTCAATTTCAGTACATATAACAATTGTGCGATATTGGCATAAAATAATCCATTTATAAAAGGAAAATTGTGTATGTGTGTGTATGTAAAGTTATACACAATAAAAAATAATATAAGGTACAATAACACAATTAATAGCAATTTTGTTATTTCTTCTCTGTCTACTCTGTAAGAATTGTATAGAATAATTGTTTTAATTATAATTAATTTTAATAGCAATGCAAAATAAAATGGCATAAATAAACATAAATACAAAGTAAATTATATGAATTTATCGGTAAAAGCATACACACACACGCACATACACATGCTAATTTAGTCTTAATGTATTATATAAAAAGTTTCCCTAAAATCGAATGTATTTTGTCGAATCTCACAATAAATCACGCATCACTTTGGCGGTAGATAATCAGTCGATCAAGTTAGTCACGCTATTTTTCCATATCAGAACGCGACATCCATATTTATCAGTAACGGTTTATACGGTCAGCTTAGTATGGGATAGTGGTTTACGATCTGACGATCCTCTCCGAACGCCGGCGTGACCTATGCCTGGAGGGCAATGAAAATTTAAATTAGCGTAGAAATTAAATCCGGCCTTTATTGAGAGGAAACCCTTCGGAATCTGCAGACAGTTTGACGTCTCGCTTTTCTGTATCCCGGCCAACGGACAGAATTGTATTTTTTATAATTAGTAACCAAGAGGATAATTAGCATCGAACGAGACGGGCTTAAGGAAGTACACATGTTTTTATATCATATGGTTATTTTCACGATATTGGAACGACAAGAATATATCACACCTGCGCTATTATCGATTCATTATTTATGTCGGAGTCACGTAATTATCCGCTTTTCACACAGCAAAAACTAACATAATTAATCAATAAGTTCTTTGCTTATATTTCATGCTTAAATTAAAATATATCACACGTATTTTGTAGAATTTCTTAATTAATTATAATATATAAATGTTCTCCTGTCGTTATAATGAAAATAAATATATCTGAGTTGCTAAAAAACTGAGATAAAAAGATACGAGTATAAATATCTCGAGAAACTCTCAATATGAAATAAGAGAATTTTATATATTCGTGCAGAAATCGAAGAAACTTTATCACACATAGCATACCTATATCTCTATATGTATTGATCTTAGCACCTAGTTGCAAACTGCAACTGCACTCTTGGATATATTACAGTACAGTTTGGCGATATGCAGTGGTTATACCGCGCACCTGAATAATTGCGTTCTGGCTGTGGTTTACTCGACCAAATTTTGATGTCGGACCCAGAGAGGAATAATTCAATCGTTAAATCACAGCGCTAGTGAATAGATGATACCGGCTTAGATTTTATAGTTGTATGTGTTTTCTCGCATATAAAAATGTATTTGTTCTATAAATAAAAAATATGTAATTTTCCATAATATTGCTAATAATGTGAATAACTTTATTTCTTGATAAAAAAATAACCATACAATAGCAATCTTAATAAAACTGCTCGAAAATTATTAAAATTGCATGTTATTTGAGATATTTTAGTCAGAATATCGGGATACGCGACTAATAATGTCGCGGGATCAGAAGTATTTATAAACTTATTAAGTTTAGTATAACTTTGTAATGTGATATTTTGTAATCGTGTCGTCATTAAAATATCACTTCATAAACCGGTCATAAAAAATATAACACGACTAATATGCAAATGTGATGTATATTTGAGGATATCAATTTAGCATCGAATAATCCAGTATTATCCGCTATTTGATCGCGATATCAACCGGCGCATTTCTCGACAGTGTAATGAAAGCAATGACTACTTTATATCCGGTCTTAATTTCCGAAAATCATTGTTTCTATCCGTTCGATTATTCATATAAATCATAGTAAATTATGATTGGGACTCACCACTTTCGCCATTATAATTTATGTTCTTGCCATCTTCCCGCCGCCACATAACGTAAGGCTCCGGATATCCGGTCGCTTTACACGTCAACGTCACGTTGGAAGCTTCGCGGACCACCATGTCAGTGCTGGTCTCTTTAGTAATAATCGATGGTGGTACTGCGACATAAATGGTAAAAAAATTTTACTTTTAAGGTGGTTATATTTATGCGGATTTGATGTGAATTCTTTAGACACTAATAATCACTGATTTATATTCAACATATATATATAATTTTTTATATGATTTTAGTAAGTACAAGTAACTTTGAATGCAAATGAAAAGTATACATATATCGGAGAAGATTTTGCGCGAATTATTACTCACCTACAACTTGTACGTAACCCTGACGACTTTTCATTGGATCCGTATTCACCTGGCACATGTACCATCCACGATCGACTTCTTGTACGTCCTTTATATGAAGATACCACGAGCGGTGATCATTGTATGTTAGCGAAATTCGTGGATTCTGAGTAATTACATTCTGATGAATCGACAATATAGTTTGCGTGTCAACGCGCACCCAGGCCACCTAAAACAAACGTCAGAATACATTTTTCTTAATATCAAATTATTGCTCAGTATATATGTATTTCTTATTTCTATTCTATTCTATTTATAGTGATAAGATATAGAATTAATCGCAGTATATAAATGCTAAATAACGAAATAATTAGATAAACATTTATTAATTTACAAATTAAAAACTGTGAGCTTATCATTTTTAATTAAAAAATATATATGTATATTGTACGTTTTTCAAAAATAATGTATCCCACACAGCAATTCAACCAAAAAATATCTTTTATAGAATCTTGAGAGAGGCCAGTATGACATACAATATAAATATATCCTTCTTATCTGCGACAATTTTGGGACAGTCTGGTGATTTTATATTTTTTTTATTGAACTATCTTTTTTCTTTTTATTTAACCCAATAATCGAGCAAGGTTGTATTTTCCAACCTTTACAAGGATCTCGAAGAACTCTAACGGAGACTTAGAACTACTTACTCTTCTTCCTACCACTGGCTCTCACACACTTCCGTTGAGTTTCCGATATAGGCAAGAGGTTTCTTGAGCATGCAAAACATGTCTGAAGTCTCGCAAATTCTACAGTATAATTTCCACCGCGAGTGCAGCTCGAGTATGTTTCGTGTTTCCAGTACTACGAGAATATCGCTCGTAGAAAAGATCAGCTCACTCTCTCGCGAATATTTTAGCTCTCACTTATATACAATATATATATATTTATATATACGCAACTACGATGGGTAATATGCAAAGATATTTTTTTATATTAATTTTATATAAGTATAAATATATTTATACAGTTTAATATTTTTTTTATTAACGCACTAAAATTAAATTTTTAAATCCAATGCTTAAAAAATACTATATAATATAATCTCTCTAAATAAAGAGTATATTGAGCTATATTATAAGCTTAAAATTTTTCACCTTTGATACACAGAAATATTTAACGCGCTTTTCCATAATATATAAGTTTTTCGATTAAATAAAAATGAATGAGTATCAGAATTAAAATGCCGTCAACAGAAAATTTTTGAATGCGAAATATGCTTTCTCCTTGGAATGCACGGTGAATGCCGAAAGCACGAAAACTAGTCGAACGACGAGGATATAAAT